TTGACATGGATTGTGCCACCCGGGCCCCCTTCATCTTTCTGTCTTTTGTTCCCTGTCCATGAGGTGAGCAGTTTTTCTCACCACCAGCTCCTACCATGATGTCCTGTGCCCCCAGAGATCCAAAAGTGACAGTGCTAAGAATCATGGACTGAAACCTCCAAAACTGTGAGTCAAAAGAAAACTTTTCCCTTTGTATGTTGATTATCTTAGTTATTTGCTGTAGGAACAAGAAACTGAGTAACACAACATTATTCAATTTTATGTATTTACCATGGTTTATTCAACCAACCCACTCTGCTTGGACATTTAGATAGTTTACAATAATTGCATTCACAAATCACAATGCCAAGTCACGATTGTGCATATATAATATAATAGTTTTGGCAGTAGAGCTATAGGATAAAGTCTTAGAGAGAAGTTATTAGGTCAAAGGATAAGTTAATATATTTATTTTTTCTAGATATTGTAAAAAAACTCTCTCTCTAGTAGTCACATTATTTTGCATTATGGTTTGGATGTGAATCATCCCCCAAGACTCATGTGTTAAAGACTTGGTCCCTGATGCAGTAGTGTTCAGAGGTAGGGCCTTCAGAGTCACTAGATCATGTGCCCTAATCTCATCAGTGGATTTATCCATTGAGGATTTCATAGCTGAATGGATTACTGGGAGGTGGTGGAAAATACAGGAGGTGGGATCTAGTTAGAGGGAGCTTGTCCTTGGGGGTGTGCCCTTGGGGACTCTATGTCTTGTCCCAGCCCCTTCCTCTCTCTGCCCTATATAAATGATTATATAAGTGATTTTTCTATCATCAAATTCTTCTTGCATGACTGGTATAATCCTTAGGTAAGGTTTTGAATTCATATCACTATTTCAAATAGGGTTTCTACTATAGTGTCCTTGCCCCATGGGTAGTTTCCTCTCTGAAGTCTTCTAAAACATATTTGTCATACTCTGTCCCTGAAATAATACTCTTTTTAATTTCTCTTCATTGTGTATAATTTTATTTATTTATATCATACTGTAATATACATGTTGTTTAAATACCCTTATTTTCATGCTCTTGATTGTTTTCTTTGCTGTGAAGAAGGCTTTTAGTTTGATGCCATCCCATTTATTGTTTATTTTATTTTATTTCTTGTGGTTTAAGAGTCTTGTAAATTGGTAAAACCCCTCTGGAAAGCAGTCTGGTGACTCCTCAAAAAACTAGGAATGGAACCAGTATTTGATTCAATTATCCCACTCCTCCGCATATATCCAAAGGATTTAAAGTCAGCATACTACAGTGGTACAGCCACATCAATGGTTATAGCAGCACAATTCACAATAGCTAAGCTATGGAACCAACATAGGTGCCCTTCAGTAGATAAATGGATAAAGAAATTGTGGTCTATATACACATTGAATATTACTCATCCATAAATAAGAATGACTTAATGACCTTTTCAGGTAAATGGATGGATTTGAAGACTACCATGCTAAGTGAAATAAGCCAATCCCCCCCAAAACCAAAGGTTGAATGTTTCCCCTGATATGTCAAAGCTAAACCACAATAAAGGGGGCAAAAAGAAGAAGAGAAGTTCATGGGGGTAGACAAAGGGAAATGAGAGGAAGGGAGAGGGGACAGGAATAGGAAAGACAATATAATAAATCCAACATAATTTCCCTATGAACACATATAAAAATACCTAAGTGAATTCCACAATTGTGCCCACCATAAGAATGAGGTTCTAATTAGATATATATAAAATATGTTCCACACTTACATAATTTCAGCAAAATTGATTCTATTGTCATTTATAACTAAGAAGAACCAATCAAAGAGAGAGAGAGAGGGACAGCGAGGAAGAGAACAGAGTAGAGAGGTGAACTCTCATGCATTGTTCTCAGGCTATCAGGTCCACTATCAAATTGCTCTTTAGAATCCACATACCTATTGTTCCATCCTCTTCACCCTACCTTCCCAGCACTTTTACGTATTTTCTGGTAAAATCTGTATGGTATTATGCCGTACTCAGTTTTATTTGGTGGTATGCCTTCTTTGGACAATAAATGAGGAGTAGTCTGACATAACTCACTGCAAATATGCACAGGCTCCCGGCATTAGCAAGGCTGGCTGGTTATGGCTCCATCCCTGTCCTGTTCCTTATGGTTTGATATTGGGTTTATTATCCTCAGTGTTCTTCCCCATAATCATAATCTCTCAGAGCCTTTGAACAAACATGAAGTATCTGAGTGAGAACAGGTAAAGAATGTAATAGAGATTGAAGGGTTCAGAGATGCCCTCTTGGGGGAAAAATTAGATTCTGTTGTTCTTTTTCTTAGGTTAATTTGTAACCAACTAATGTCAAGACTCGTCAAAGTTGCACCAGATGGGGTTAAAGATTAATTCCAAAACTGCCCCATGACCCCATTCTTGCCCAAGGTCACATTCTTCTGGATTCTGGTCTTTTCTTCTGGATGCAGCTGGGACCCTTGTTAATGATCATAGAATCTAAGAAGAAAGCTCCTTCTTTGAAGGAGCCACGCAATAAACCTCACTGCTTCCACCATTTCACCATGTACTTTTGGCTAGAATAATGGCCCTTTTCTGCCAGTTAATGTATTTTTCTCCCATGGTGTTTGCTTTCATTGTCTGTGCTGGACTTCCATCCTTAGCTAGTTGGCACAGTCAAGATTGCTATTGTTAAGAACTCAGTTACGCTGCGTGTTTCAGTTCTCATCTCAGAACACAGTTTCTCTGCTGAGCCTCTTTCTTTACTGGGGACTTCTGGGAAACATCTGGTGTTGGAAAGTTTCTCTAAACTTTCTTTTCAACTTCTGATTTTGATTACTTTCTTTTCTCTTTTCATTTCCTAGTTATTTTTTTTTTCATATTTTCTAGGCCATCCACCCCCAGGGATCAATTATTTCTACTTTTTTGTTTTGTTTCCTTTCACAATTTTTGGAATTTATTACCTGGATTTTTTTTTTTTTTAAAAAAAAAACCCAATATTTACTTTAATGCACACAAAACAGTTCTCGTCTGTAGGTACAAGGAGATAACCAAAGCAATTTCAAATTGATCACACCCCAGATGAGAGGCAGAACCTGGATCATTATTGTAATTTTATGACTTCCAATCATGACCTTGGGTAAGTCAATTACATAGAGGTTTTCACTGCTTATTTGTAAGATCTAGCTTGACCAAATGTTGTATAATTTTAAAGATGTATAATGCAAAATTAATTTAGTGAATCCAACTATATTTTCTTCAGTTAAAATTCTTGCTGTAATAAAGAAAAGCCGTTTTTTTCCTTTCTTTTTCATTTTTCTTTTTTTAACTACAGCTCACCTTTATCCTTTAACATAGGTGTTTACACATGAGTAAAATATGCCTTCCTCTGGATCTATGTGTACAGGCTAACCATTGCCTCAATAATGCTTTATAGCAGTCACAGAATGTCCATAATATAGTATATTTAACATATGCACCTATTGAGGTAGGTAGACTGGGGCTGGCTGATCTAGACTGATTTTGGCTTTTGAGTGGTCTGCCCTACTTTATGAGTCTCTCTCCTTTTGTGGGGGTACTAGTGTGTTCACCTGAAAATCTTCTCATGGCAATGGCAGAGAACTAGAGAGTAAGTCCACTCATAAAGCACCTTTTCAGACTTGGTTTAGTCATGCCCATGGTATTCCATTGCTCAAAATAAGTTTCACAGCCAAACCCAAAGTCAAGGTAGGCTCTTGGAGCAAGGGGGAAAATAAAATTGTTATTTCTAAATAACAATGTGGTATAGCACTGTGTTTTGGAAATGAGTGATGGAAAGCTTACATATGGCTTCTCAGTGAAAACAAAGGTGGTAATAAAGACATGCAGACATTTGAGGGATTGGAGTCTAGTGTGATTGCTTCTCCTGTGGCATATTACTAAGTCTATTTCTAAAGAGAGGAGCTGCAGGTTTATGACAGGCTATATACATTTATTTGCACACGATTTAAGGAGAGCTTGATTTGGTCATTTTGGTCAAATGAAGGATGTCAAGTTTGCAGTACTACCTAAACAGCATCAGAAGCCCCTCTGTTTTGCAGGTTTATGGAAGTTCCTCTGAACTGTGGACTGAGCATCCCTCCATGGAAAAGCAATTTATTACTTTATATGAATGGCAGATGAATTTATAAGTGCTGATCAGAACTTATTTATGAGACCAAATGAGACCAAATATGGTACTTTGAAGAAGATCTAGGCCAGGAGTAGGGGTACATTTCTGTAGTGACTCAGGAGGCTGAGGCAGAAGGATCACACAAGTTTCTGGTTAAGGAACTTAGTGAGACTCTATCTCAAAATTAAAAAAAAAAATCAAAAGAAAGGACTGGAGATGTAACTCCATGGTACAATGCCCCTGGATTCAATCCCCAGTGCAAAAAAAAAAAAAAATCTAATATAAAAACACTGTGAAGCCAGGTGCGTTGGCATTTTCCATCAGTGAAAATAAACAATGGAATTTCAGTCTGAAGACTAATCCCAACAGCTTGGGAGGCTGAGACAGGAGGATCATGAGTTCAAATCCAGCCTCAGCAAAAGAGAGGCATTAAGCAACTTAGTGAGATCCTGTCTCTAAACAAAATACAAAATAGGGCTGTGGATGTAGCTCAGTGGTTGAGTGCACCTGAGTTCAATCCCTGGAACCCCCTCAAAACAAGCAAACAAACAAAAAACCACTCTGAGACACTTGTCATATGACTGAAAAAATTACAGGGACCTATGCTGTAACATAAAACTCTCTCTCTTTAGTGAAACAATTCATATATCCCCAACTCTGCCACTTTTTATCCTGATACTTCTACTTATATTCATTCTACTTGTTCCCTAATGGAACAATAAAGTAAAATTACATGAACATTTACTCAAATTATTGATGACTAAGTTGTACTAAATAAAAATAACTATACACATGAAGCAATGGCTATACTTATGAAGCAAATGTTTGTTACTTGAGAACAAATGGAGAATTGAGGATAGTTAATGCAAGCAAACATCAGTTTATTTTTCCATTAATTGAGATATATTAGTTATCCATTGCTAAGTAACAAATTATATCCAGACTTGGTCATGTTGAACAATAAGAATTTATTCTTTAATAGTTTCTATGAGTCAGAAATTTAAGGTGGAAAAATAAAACTTGGATGAATGGGTCTTCCTTTCATGAGTTCACAGACAAGAGATCATGTGAAATTGCAGTTTATCTGAAAATGTGAGAAGGAGGATCAGCTTCCAAGGTGGCTCATTTCCATGGCTGGCATGTCCACGCTTGTTGTTGGTAAGAGGTCCTAGTTCCTCCACAGATGGACCTCAATAGGGCTGCTTGCATGACATTATAGCATGGAAAGGGCTTCCTCCAGATCCAGTGATCCAAAGCGAGATCGAGGTGGGAACTACTATACACTTTACGACCTAACCTTGGAAGTCACGCTCTGGCCTTTCCTGCAGTACTTTATTTGTTATACCAGAGCCAGGCTGGGCAATCGCTGTACAAGTGATTGTACAAGTGCATGACCTTCAGTGTGAATATCTCTTTCAATTGTGTACCCTTGATGCCCCACTTGCTTTATATGAATCCTGGTCCTGTTTTACACAAGTCAGTTGTATTCAGTGATCAGGGGACTGTACAGGGTATGGATAGCAAAGAGCAATAATCTCTGGAGGTCATCTTGGAGGTTGGCCAAGTATCTAAGATTCTAATCAATGAGCAGGGATGTCCCTGGGCTCAGCAGTCCTCAATTTTGGCTGAACATGTTTATCATCTAAGAGTGCGTGATGCCTGTACCCTGCTCTTCAGAGACACTAATTAATTGATTAGGAGTGGGATAGCCATGGTAGTAAAAAAAAATACAAATTCTAAAAAAAAAAAAAATAGCCAAATCATAAGTTATTTTCCTGTGCAGTCAGGGATAAGAATACAGCAAATGAACAAGAAAGGTTCCTTTTGGGTTGAAAGTCCACCTAGAATTTGCCTATCACTGTAACTGTCAACAACATCTGTTCTTTCCTCCTGGGGCAAGAAGTGGGGGAGGTTTTAGAGGGACAAGAGGGATCAGAAATTTATTCACTTGCAAACTGTTGCTGAACACAGAGCACATCTGACTAATTAGATTTCTTTTCCACCACCTCTACCTTCTGCTTGAATTATTTTGTAAAAGATTGGTAGAAGTGGGCTTAATTGATAAGTGCTGGTCTGACTTGAGGCTGTTATCTATTTCAAGACAGATCAAAATACGAAGGTTGGATGAACAGGAAAGTCCCCAGATGAAAAAGAGAATAATGGGAATTAGATGAGTTAGATTAGGGCTTGTTGCCTGTTTACTTGTGCAACAGTTTGGTGGCAGTTTGATACAAACACACACACACACACACACACACACACACACATACACACAAAGGCAAACTGACAATGGAAACCACTTTTTTTTTTTTTTAGGCTTTCTCTCAATTTATTTATGAATATCTTTTCTTTTTCCTTTTTCGGTATGGGGATTGAACCCAGGAACACTTTACCACTGAACTACATCCCTAGCTGTTTTCACTTTTGTTTTTTAATTTTTTAATTTATATATGACAGCGGAATGCATTACAATTATTATTACACATATAGAGCACAATTTTTCAAATCTCTGGTTGTATGTAAAGTATATTCACACCAACTTGTGTCTTCATATATGTACTTTGGATAATAATGACCATCACCATCATTTATAATCCCATGCCCCTTCCCTCTCTCTCCAACCTCTCTGCCCTATCCTGATCCATGTGGCAGGAGCCTGGGCAAAACATGATGAGAAGAAGGGTGAGACAGATTCTTGAGCAGGCTATTTTGTTTTCCTTCAGTGAAAATAAACAATGGAATTTCAGTCTGAAGAATAACTGCACCTCTTCATCCTTTGGAGTGCAGGGACTTTCATATTTTCTTCTTGAAATTTTCTTAGGGAATGCAACAAAAGTCAGAGATCATCATGCTTTTGGCAGAGAGTTTGGGATGTTGGAAGATTTCCAGAAGAAGAGAATCTGCTATGGGTATATGCTTGAAATCACTGTTGGCCTCTCAGAGTTAAAATAAAAAATGAAAACACTGTACTTACTTTTTAATGATAGTAGCCTGATGCATATCTCTTACATAAGCAAGAAAATCCCTACAACTTGCACTGGGTGTGAATGTGGCCTTATCCTTTCACTCTTGTCTAAATTTCAGGCATGCGCCCAGGGCAAGTTGCTGGGAAAACAGAATATTTGCTTCTAACATCCATTTCAGCTGTAGCAGAGTTTTGGCTGGAGGGTGATTATATTAATGGAGAAGAGTATCTACCTTTTCAATAGGATCCCAGCAGAGTTCTGCTGTATGGCAAAGTCTCAAAGGATTAGAGTGTCTCCATCTCATGACAAGGCAGGTCACTTCCAATGGGCTCTTGAATGCATGTGTACTTGATGGGAGGTGGTGGTGGCTTGAAAGGCGGGGGTCTTTCCATGCTAGGAACAAAACATTGTTCTTTCAATGCTAAGAATGTGAGGTGTTTTTTGTTTTTGTTTTTTAATCAGAAGACCAATTGATTAAAAAAGAGATATCACCTTAGTTTTCTCAGAATTTTTGTTGGTTTAACCCTATGCTTGTGAATTCTAACAGGCACTTGAAAACCATGTTCATACCATTAATTAATATTTATATGGCATTTTATAGTTTGCAAGGCATGTTTTTTATCTTAACATCATTTATTTTGCATTAGGAATTAAGCTTTTTTTTTCATTACTCTACTGATAAAACTGAGGCTTAACAGTTTTTAGAAATTTGCTCAACTGAGGTCTTAGAACTAGAACCCATTTTACTCACAAAACTACCTCTTAATAGGGGAAAATTTTCTCTTACATGGGTTAAACATTCCTCCAGAAACAAAATTTTAAAATTCAGGGACTTGAGACTGAAGTTGTCAAATAGCCCTTTTGCTGACCCCACCCCCATCCTGTATACACACTGGTATGAACTGTACAGATCCTTTAGAGGTGGGAAGTAAAACTCTTCTGAATCCTTGAGTTGTTGTACTGGCTGGATAATGCTCAAGTCCCTTTTGCTTGAATCAGTAAACATTCTTAACATTGTCTTTGTACAAATCACTATTTTGTCCTTCAATTCATCTCTGTCTGAAATGCATCAAGCATCCAGGTTAACGTGGGACTTAGCTGTACAAATGCCCAAATGACAGGATGACAGGAAAAGGAAATACGTGTGTGAGCATTTTATGTTCATGACTCAAACAACTTCCCAACCCTGGAAATCTATAGTATCTAAATTTGGGGGAAGACACACACACAGAGAGAGAGAGACAGAAAGAGAATGACATGCTTATCATTTAGATTTTCAAATTCCCATTTGATCATTTTAATATAAAGATCTTCTAATCCTTTTGGCTGCTTTAACAGAGACTTACAATATATTAAAAAGTGGATGCAATTCTAAGAAACTTGTACTTTTGCTTTTGTTCAGAGGAATGATGGATTCCTGAAGGTCATGGAGTGGCCAAGATGTAGTCAGTCCTTAGATAAGAACCCAGAAATTCTAACCACTAGTATCATGTTTTATTTGCTGTGAAACACTCCCTACATTGGTTATAGACTTCAAGGTTGCTCTGAGAAAAGCAGAAAAGTGTATTGCACAACCGTGAATGTTCTATCCGATACACATACAAGCATGTGGAAGAGCAGCCATATGTCAGGGGCTCTCCTGTGACGTGGGCTAACCCAGACTTATCCAAAATAGCAAAGTCAGAAAAGTGGGCTTAAACTTTCATGCCACTTCTGAGTGTGGTGTGGAGAAGAATTTTGGAAAATGTTTCAATAAGATGAAGAGGGGGAAACCCAAACATCTTTCTTTTCTCCTTAGGGAAAAAGGAAAAGAGCAGTACAAGCCCACTCTGATGAAAAGCAGCTGGAAATCTCTTAAAATTACCTTTCTCACTCAATTTCACACTTGAGCATCTGGGCCCAGCTGGGCCCAGGCGATTCAAAGATGCATGAAAATGAAAAAATAATGAAGATTAATAGAAAAATCAGTTTTAGTTTTGAGGTGAGGTGAGGTTCAGTTTTCATTTCATGCCCACTAACTTGCTTCATCTGATGAGTGTGACAGTCTGACCAGGCCAGCTCAGAGAAGGGTACCCAGTCAGGAGTGTGTGCTTAGTCCCTACTGTGCAGTGCTGGCAAAGCTACTTGGCCTCTCTGAGCTTCTGTGAGCCCATTAGCTCATTATGATATGAGCAGAATGCCACATAGTACAAACATCTTGTATGTGTAAATATTTTGTAATAAAAAATTTCCGATTCCTATATATTTTAGCATTATACTCACATTTCTTTTTGGTATTGACACCATTTTCTCACTCCAAGACCAAACAGTGCCATGCAGAAAAAGAGCAGAGCTGCTATAATCACGGGCCAGGACATTCCACCAGTGGGCTTATTAACTACAATGCCTGAAAAAAAGTGTCAAGAGAGATCAACTGTAATGCCAAACTTCAGCATTCAGGGAAAAAAGGATTACACTAGTTCTTCTATCTGGAAAACGTTTTCCTCTAAGGGCCACGGGGGTATTCACTGACTGTGATTATGCTCTGGCGGCATGCCTGTGCCATGTCACACAAAGATGATGAGTGAATAGTTAACTATGAATCCTGCCAGCAATTTTCTATGACTACCTAAGCATATAGATGTATCATGAACACATATCCTTCTTATTACAGATGGGGGCATACTTACACACTATTCTCTCCCTGATCTATTTCTTAAAAAAAATTCTTGGAATCCTTTTTAGAGCAGTGCAGAGAGATTTACCTGATTCTATTATATGATAGGTTAATTCCCCAATAGCTGTATTCAATTTAATTTTATTATTTACTCACTATTTATACATTTAATCAATTTATTATTCACAAATATAGCACAATTTAATAAAATTAATAAATATAATATGAATTTACTCATAAATGTATACATTATTAATTTATTAATTATTTTATTTAAGTCTCTTAATGTTAGATGGTCAAATTATTTTCATGCTTTTATATTTCTAAAAACAATAACATACAAGAAATGAAATTTCTTATACGTTATAGATAGATCTTTAGATACTTGAATTACATAGATCATTTGGCCAAAAAGTTATCTGAATTAGTTTTTCTTACTAGATGGTAAACTTCTTGCAGGTGGAGACAGATTTAAAATTTCTTTTATTTCCTAGCTTTTATAACTGCTTTTCATCTAGAAAAGTCTCAAAAAAAATAGTACAAAGACCTGGATTTAAGAAGTCAGTTACCAAGTCTTTCCTCTGTTTATACAGTTTGAATTGCAGTCATAGGACGCTATCATGTTAGCACATGTTATCAGTGTTGAAGGTTTTTTCCCCTCCATATAACATACATGCGGGGATTCAAGGTCGTCCTGATGCTTACTCTATCTACCGAAGCCCTGTCAAAGGAGGCACTGAGAAACTCGTGTAATCCTATAATGCTTAATGGTGTGGCACATTTCACAGGTGGCTAGAGACATCAGGGTGCAAACTGCTCCAGGAGCATGACTTGTCACAAATAAGTTTACTTATGTGTCTATTTACTGTGTATCATCTTTAATAGATTATAAGCTTTAGGAGGACAATGTCATCACTGTATACCCAACACCTGGCATAATGCCTGGCAAGTTACTCAATACATATTTGCTTAGTGAACAAAATATAAAATTAAAAAATATAAATGGCAAATAACTCACTGGTGATATGGATGTGACTATTGTTAGTAGATCCATTGGCTGATGTGGGGGCTTCTGAAAATTCTCCAGTTGTGCTCGTGCTGGTGAAGACATCATCTAGGGATATAAAGAGAATATCTGAATTGATCCTCAGAGTCACCTCAACTTGATCAAATGGTATAAAATCATGATTGGGTTCATGTATTATTGGGAAATATCTCAATTTGGGTGGCCTGAATGTCCCTAAAATATTACATGTAAAGTTTTTAAAGAACCAATTTATAGCCAGGCTGGGATCCTAGGGTTTTTCTAACAGATATCAAATGAGTAAAATTCCTACTGGTTTAAAAAAAATAAAAAAATTCACACTTCAAATAACAAAACACTATCTGCTAAAGATTCTCAAAAAAAAATTTAAGAGGTATGGCAACAGAGCATTAAGTGGCATCAAGGAAAGATGAAGTCCTATCCCAATTTTCCCAGTGTTACAGATTCAGCTGATCAAAATACTCATTCTTCCCACCCCAATGTGTTTAATAAGGTCAATAAAGATTCCTTTGCAACATTATATTAGACAAATCTATGTTATCTAATCATTCCATTGTCCAAGAAATATTAAAAAATGAAAAGCATTTTTTATGAATGTAAGTGGCCAAAAATGGTATTGCATAGATTTCATTTGGAAACAAAACAGATAAAAATCTAAGACTAGGTCTCTTTTGTCTTCTTTGAGTGGGAAAAATTTTGGTTCTATTCATTGTCATTGTCATTACCAACATGTACTTTTAAATACCTGAAATTGGCTTCTTACCAGTTTTTATTTCTCCTCCTATGCTCAGATAAATCCAACTACCTTCCATGCTCCTAAATTTTTCCCATGTACTCACCATGAAGAGTTGAGCCTGCCCCTGAGGGGGATGAACTGTATGTTTCACTGGGTATCCATGAAACCGCTAAAGGAAGAAGATTTTGGAAGAGTCAATCTATATGAGTAATCAATCCATTCTCTTTTCTTAACCATTAATTGAAAAAAAAATTATGAAAAAGTATACTGAAACTACTTAAAGCAATATCATTGGACAGTTCTGCAGCATGTTAGATTCAGCCAAAATAAAGTGAGTTGAGGGATTGATTGTGGTTCAGATGTCTCTAACTGGGAAGGTTTTGATCATGGCCACTGCTATACTTTGAAGTCTCCAAAATCCAGATGTTGCCAATGTGACAGCATTAAGAGGAGGGGACTTTAAGAGGTGATTAAGCCATGAGGGTTCCTCCCTTCACACATGGGATTAAGGCCCTTATAAAAGAAGTTTCACGCAGCATTCAGCCTTGCCATTCCACCTTCTGCCACATGAGGACACAACAAGAACATCCTCACCAGATGCTGATGCCTTGATCTTGTACTTCCTGGTCTCCAGAACTATGAGAAAATACATTGCTCTTCTTTACAAATTAGCCTGTGGTACTCTGTTATAGCCACACAAATAGACCAAAGTAGTTACTTAAAACAGGAAGAATGCAAGCAATACTAGCAGAAGTTTCTCCAGCTACAGAGGATATATTCTCAAATTCTCATGCTTACCCCATAGATGAGACAAAAGAATAGGAGATAATAAAAGCCCAGGAATGTTATGGTGGCCTTTACTAAAAAAAAAAAAAATAAGATGCCAATATGACTTCTCAGGCCTTGGTAGAACATGCATGAGGGAAGGAAGTAGCTTGGACTTATGGGCTGGCTAACATGTTTGCTCAACTCTGCAAACTGAATTGTGTCAGCAGTGAATGATCATACCCCTGTGGTCACAGGCCTTGATTCTTAGCTGTGGGTTAGTACCTTTGAGGCCCTCAGAAGAAAACCTTTCCCTGGAGTGGACAGTAGCAAACTCAGCACACAGAGCTTTTGAAATGGATCTATCAACTCATTTTGTTTATTACTCTATCCTGGGAAAGAAAGATCTACTTCTTGGTACATACCTGGATTTGATAACAGGCCTCCAATATAATGTAAAATAAAATAACTACAGTAGTATACAGTTGCAATCAGTAGTAACATACTCATTTATTTAAAACACTAACATATATTCTGTTCCCAGTTAAGTGTGTTCTTCTATGTCAAGACCAAAATAAATAAACAAAATAAAAATAAAACATTTGAAAAACCTTACCCTACCCCACTTCTTGGTTTCTCTCTTTATGTCAAACAATAGCTGCAGCTAATGACCAAAGTATGTCAATGTTTTCAGGGATTGCTCACAGGACATCTGTCATACACGATTAAATTGAGTCTGAGTAGATCAAGGACATGCTCCTTTCTTCAATATAATTCTCTGAACTTGCTCCAAGTGCCCTTGACTATTTTGTGGTTCTAGCTAGAGCTCCAAGATCTATAGATGATAGTGAAATGAGAATTTTATAATGTTCATTTTAAATAATGAAGCAATTAGCCAGGAAATTGACAAAGAACAAGAGCTAATTCAAATACAATTATACCCAGGCCTGGGTTTAGGCAAAATAATGAAGAAGGCAGTTCATTCTGGATACCCTTACAGATAACCTTTGACTCAACTTGGTGTCTATTTAACTAACCTTCAAAGCTTGAGGTCTTTATTTAGTACCTCTTCAAAGTATGTTTGAAAGAAAGGATTTGATTAATTTATGCTAAAGTTAAAAAGAGCAAAATAAGTGCCATCCCTTTGAGGGACATAGCCATTTAAAACAAAAAAGATCTTCCCCTTCATGTTTATTATCTTTGGATCAATATAGAACATTTTGAAACAATTACTAACATGTAGATACCACATAGGGTTTTTTTTTCTGATCAGTCTTTCCCAGTCAACCTTTATTTTCCCTGAACAAAATAATCTAATGTAGTGCAATTTCAGGAGATGCTGATATCATCAGCATGAAGCAACCCAATTATAAAAATAGCCATACTTAAAACTGTGCAAAGTATTTGATCATTTCATAAAACTTCTTTTTAGACTTCTGCAAACCTTCCCAGCATAAAAGACTCCTCAATATGATATACAATAACATTGAACTACAAAATCCCTTTGGAAAAGTAAAGAGCTATTTTTGAAATTTTGGTTTTAAGAGCTATTATTTTATATCTGATTAAAAAATATTTAGTGGAAACTGGGTATGGGGTGAGGGACGTGAAGAAAAAAGAGATTCCATTTGATGGATTCAACATGTCTGAAAGTATTTAAGTAATGTAAAAGAGAAACTTCAAGACTAAAAATATATTATAAATAACAGTCTTCCAGCAAGATGAAGTGAGTAGTTCTTGTATTGATTGTTCCCACAGGAGATAGGTCTTCCTAAAGAATGGTTGTTTATAGAATTCTCTGTAAGAGTTGGCTACCTTTAATGATTCATCTCTCACTAAAACAATACTTTTCTGAAAATTCATTCACAACCATCATTTAGATACCTCTCACAATGTATTAAACATTGGTTACTCTATCTGCCATTCATAAATCTTTTAGTTAGTGATTGTCTTTTAGTTGATTGAAATTTCCATGTTCCCGAAGGCACCATCATATTTGTTAACTACATGAGTTAATTACCCTTTAAGTCTTTTGAGCATTCATTTTCCTCCAAGTCAATGACTGAATATCACTTTGACACTTTGTATAGTAAACACCAGCTTGATCAATAACCTTGTTTTGTATATCATCAATATGACCCCAAAATGTGAACACAGGATTACTATATTGTTATAGCTTCTCAAGTAATTCATGTAGCCTTCCTAGAATGTAATGTTAGAATCTTCAATTTCTTTATATTCAGCACTCAGTAAAGTTTGTTCAACAAGGATGGTGCTTCTAATCTATGGTAAGAGTCATATAAACTTCAATAGTATAGTATTTTTCTTTTAATTGAATAACTCTTGAATTCCACTTATGACCAGTTCACAGTTGTTAATAACATTATGACTCATTAGTAATCCTTCCCCTTTGTAGGAGAATCTACTTGGAGTCCTATCAAAGCCCAATCCTGGCCGAAGCTTGGCAGTTCTTTAACAGATAATTTCTGCTACCCTCATAAGGTTCTTGATGTGAACTGAACATTTGTGGAATTCTGGCATCCTTTTTACATATGCAGTGGACTACTGATGAGACATTTCTTGGCTGTCCAATCTTCCTTAAGTCATTCTTTATCTTAAGTCATTAACTTTGTTCCAGAACAATGGAAGAGGGAGCAAACAACATCCAGAGATGGAGGACCTGGGTACAGGGATTTGGTGGATGCTGGTCTTTTGTTCCACCTTCCTCTTCAAGGGGCATATGCACACAGACAACAGTACTCCTGCCACCAGTATACACATGCTGATGCTAGCCACTGTGACTACTCTTGTCATGACCACCCAGTCCACAGACAAGGCCCTCACACTCTTCCCAACCACAAACAGAAGATGACACTCACAGGCTTCAAAGTGTGGAGCCATGCCTCAGAAATGGAGAAATCTATGAACCCCCATGGGATTTTAGCAGAGGATAGAATTTTAAATCAGAAAAATAAATCTTTGAGACTGACATAAGAGGAATTAGATGAAAGAATTGGAGAACAGAGTCTTGGAAGTGAGCAAAATAGAATGTGAGTCAAGGCACATGGAATTTTGGAATTTGAGAACAAAAGTGATGATTGTAAAGAATTAATATCACAGGGAACATAAGAACTGTAAGAATTATCATGCAGCCTAAAAACAGAAGCCAGGCCCAGCTTTGCTATATGCTCCTCTTACTGGTCTGCTCCTGCCACTGATATCAGTCTTTCAACTTTGGCCTTTCAACATCTTTCTGCCTAAGAAAAATACAAGATGTGCTATGAAATCATGAGGCTTAACTACCAAGAGCTGAAAAAGAACCAGACGGACCAGAGACAGAATAAGAAATACATTTGTAAGATTTAAAATGAAGGGAATATAAATTTTGAGGCATAAGGAATTCATAGTGGAAGAACAGAATAAAATCCCATTTTGAGACCAGTAAGAGGCGATCTCAAGGGTCCAGGGGTGTGTGTGTGTGTGTGTGTGTGTGTGTGTGTGTGTTGATGGTGAGCTTGAGCTTGTTGATTTTGGTAATGAGATGAGTTGGAGTGTTGGAGGCTTAAGGGGCCATGGAGGCTCACATCATTTCTTTGTTTGTCTAACTTAGATATTTAGACTGATTTCAAAGTAACTTTGAGCCCCATTGGACCAGGTGAGTGGCAAGGGAAATCCAAAAGAAAAAAAGTAATTACGATTAAAATTTCTATTCCATTGCTTGATCACCTGAATCTGTCTTAAGATGAGTATGTGTTCTAAGGTATCTTTAACCTTGTACATTTCAGGTATTAAGATGGTAAGATTGAGTATTCCCATTTTATTGGTGGTTAAAGTAAAACATGCATTTTTTTTTTTCTGCTTGTAGGAAACTTGGAAGTTGAACTAGGATTAGATTCCAGTATTCTTGAATCCCAATGTAGCCCTCTTCAGGTTGATAAATAGGATGGCAGCAAAAAAACAGATTATAATATATTCTGATAAATGTAGATAAATGCAATGTGCTCAGAACAGTGTAGTGACATTCAAATATGTATGGACACCACAAAATCCATGCAGGATCCAAATATCTTAGAAAGCATGTTCACAAACAGCAAAGTGCCTAGAAGCACTAATAGTGGGTTTATTTCGCCATAAATCTATCCATTATCATTCTTTTTTGCCTCTAAACATTTCATAAATCTATTGAAATAAACATACCAGGAGGGGGAAAAATCCCATTGCCAATGCCTGTCATGAATCTTGCCAAATGCATCATCCAATATTGGATGTCACATTACAGTCTAATCTAACGAGTAGAAACATGTTTCAAAATCAAGTTTGGGAGTGAGCAATCAATTTTAACTTGTTGGATCCTAATGTGTTTTTTGAATTATTATAAATAGAGCAAGTTACTATAGGGGATTATTTTTTCTCTAAGTTTATGGATAAAAAAATGGTTACTAGTTAAGAAGCTCATCTTCTTGTCCAAGTGACACTGCGAGTCCACACCTCTGGAGACAAATCCTTTGATGGACTTTAGAGTTCCTTCCTGAATTTCACCATTGCCAGGGTCATTTTAATGATAAGAATGATAAAGAGATGTCTGAGGATAAATGAAGTTTCCAAATGGGAAAGGACAGAAAATGTGAAGGAGCATGGTAATTCATTTCATTATGAAACCTATTAAAAAGACTAAGAATATACTGTAAAAAATTATAAAATAAGACTCTGAAGCAACATTTTTTTTCAGTTTCCTAGTTTCTGGGGCAGAAAGTACCTTGGATGACCTTATTCTTCATACTGATGTAGAGAATAGCAAAGTTATCTCATTATTTTTTTTCTAGCACACATATTACAATAACAATTGAAAGAAAACAAAATGTTCAAAACTTCCAATTAAACAGATCATTTATTTTCACTGTGAATATGCCTATGTTTTCTTTCTCTTTGCCCCTCTATATTCATCCTTTCAATCATTCAACAAATGTCTACTGAGCACTGATGGAATGCCTGTCATTGTGACAAATATTAGGATATGCAATGAACAGGAGATAAAAAGATTTAAATCTCTGTTCTTATGTACACTACATTCTAGCATAATTGCAATAAAAATCAAATGCATAAAATAAAGGAAAATATTAGACATTGATAAATAACATATTGATAGTTGAAATATGGGATAATTTATGTATGATCATAGCATAAATTTAACCTGGACTTCAGCTTTTTCCTATAACATTGTCTGATAAATTTTTTTCCCCTCTCTCCATAATTTCTACCATCTACTCAACACATTTTGATTCATTTATTTATTGATCATCTATAGTTAGTGTTCCAGGCTTTACTTTAGAAACCGAGTTTGTAGGTAAACAAAAAAAAATATGGGTATTTCTTATACTATAACCTCAAAAATAAAGAATGACAAACAACTAATGTCAGTAAAGTTAGGATTTTCAGTATAGTTCATTACACACAACTCAAGTTAATATTAGCACCATGTAGCACATATGCAAATCTGTCAAGTGTCCCTGATGTTTTCATTGTCAATTTATATCTGATTGGTAAAGACTTTTTAGTTCATACCTTTGTCTATATGACAAGATACATTGTCTAGCTAAGCACATTATGGCTATTGTTTTGTCTGGCTTTATAATATTTCATCAAGCTAAGATTTCATTCTATTGATATTTTCCTATTATTGGTCATATTTTCCCTTACCATTCCCTCACTGCTATTCACATACACAGATTTGGATCTATTATAAATAACACCATGAATGTCTTCTTCCTGTCCCATTCCTTATATCAAAACAAAATGCTGTCCTGAATGTTGTGCTTATTATTCATTTATACAGTTTAAAATTTTTATCATATATTATGCCTAAGCCATATGGTCCCTGGTTATACTTACATTTCACATTTTATTTTTTAAAAACCAAACCATATATTGTTACCTGTTTTTTACTTTTTTTGCCTCAACACACTATTATTAAGACTCACTCATTCTATAAAAAGAAAAAGAAATGGGGAGGGCCAGGGATCTCATGAAAATCAAAGAGAGCTCAGTAGGGGCCCAAGGGGTAAGAGGAGGGAAGTGGTGGGAAGTGCTGGGGAGTGATATTGGCCAAATTATATTGTTATATTGTGTGCATGTACGAATAGGTAACAATGAATCCCACATTCCGTACAACTATAACACATCAGTATAATAATGTGGAAAGGGGAAAAAAAGAAAAAAGAAAGATTCACTCATGTTGTTATATATGGCTGTCATTCACTCATTTTTTTATTGCTCTATAATATTTTATTATGTGAGTGTGTTATAAATGATTCATTATGTTCTAGTATGGTATTTAGATTATTTACAGCTTTTGCTATATTAACAGTGTTTTTTCCCAACATTTGTGTTCATATTGCCCATTTGCATGTACTAATCAGGGAGTGAGGTGTATGTTTAGAAACAGAATTATTGGATTGTAGGGCGTGCACATACTTAGTTTGAAAACATAATGCCAAAGTGGTGGAAAGTGATGGCACAGATTTTTATTCCCACCAGCAATAGATGAAAAAATCATATTTATAAAACAGCAGTTGGCAATCCAGACTCCATTTGTTTTGTCAATGGATTATGTGTAAAATGTTTTCGGTTGTTGTTGTTCCAGTGTTTATTTGTTTCTTAATTTCTAGAGAGGTTGAGCATTTAGGTGAATTTCATGTTTGGGATAAAACTTTTTGTTCATTTTATATTAACTTTTGTCTTTTTATTACTGATTTCTAAACATTGACATAAAGATTTGTGGCAAATATTTTCTCTCAGATTAGGCTTGCTTTTTTTCTTTTTGTACTGGGGATTGAACCAAGGGAGTGCTTAACCACTGAGCCACATTCCCAGCCCTTTTTAATATTTTATTTAGAAAGGGTCTTGCTGAGTTGCTTAGGGCCTTGCTAAGTTGCTGAGGCTGGCTCTGAACTCATGATCCTCCTGCCTCAGCCTTCTGAGCTGCTGGGATTATAGGCATCCACTACCTCGTCCAGCTAGAGCTTAATTTTGCTTTTTAAAGTTTAAGATAACTTTTGATAAAGCTGGGCATAGTGGTGCACACTTATAATCTTAGCTACTTGGGAGACAGGGGCAGGAAGATTGCCAAATTAGAGGCCAGTTTGAGGCAAGCCTGGGCAACTAATAAGATTCTGTCTCAAAACAAAATTTTAAAAAAATGGTCTGTGTATGGAGCTCAGTGGCAAAGCACTTGCTACACCAGAAAGGCGCTGGTTTCAATTCTTAGTGCTAAAAAAAAAGATACATTTTGATAAACCTGGGTTTCCTAACGCTATTCTAACTTTTCAGGCTTTTATGTGGTTAGTCCTTTGTGTCTCTTCATTAAGCCCTTCTGTACAGAAGAAGTTGGTCTTTATTTTATTACATATTTTAATGTTTTTCTTTGGACATAAATATCTTTAACTCCACGCAGTTAATTTTTGTGTAGTGTGCATTTTAATGCCTTTTAGCGTCCTTTGGCTGGACAATGCCTTCTTTTCCACAGTTAATTCGCTTTGCCATCTTTGACACAACATCTAAATTCTGTTTATTTGTGAATCTCTTTCTGTGTTCTCCCTTCTGAATGCTGCCTTCTCGTTTCTTGTAGTTGGGCACTTAGTTCATAGATATCTATTATCTTATTAACATATTTTAAAAAAGAAATATGTTAAATTATAAAGGGTCCTGCACTGACTAATGATAAAAGTGTTTCATGAATTAAAGATTGTGATTAACCCAAATCTATGAGCCCAGGGTCCATCCAAGAGATAAACAAACAAAGCTACAAAGAGCAGTATTATACATGTTCCTTTGCTCTTCTTATTTCCTAAGAGCAAATTCCCAACAGTGAAATGACTGAGCCAGTGAGTCTGAAAGACTTCTGAAGGTTTCAGATGTACAGCTCAAGTGCTCTCCAAGAGGACACACCCACCTACGTTCCATGTAAGTAAATTCTGCACCTGAGGCATCTGTTGTCCTGTCTCCTCTGCTCCAGTCACCTTTCTTTCCACTTCCCCACTACATGAACTTTGTCTTACACCACCAAGAGGCAGTCTATTTCCTTTGCAGGCAATACCCGCTAAAGTAGCTCCTGCAGACCTCCTGCTAGTTGGCTTGGTTAATGGTACCAAGGACTGGGCTCCCTCCTTTCATTTTAATTGGTGATGTGCATATTTTGAAGAGTTTGCTCTTTCTTCACGAACACACAGAGCTTGCTCTGTTGGCCTCACTGGTCATGTCTTTGCTCAGATGTCAACTTCCTCTGTAAGATCTCCCCTTTCATAAGGGACGCCTCCCCTCACCCAGTATCACTGCACAGCTTGGTCTTCTCCATATCATTTATTACTGTTTGCCTCTCCCCAACAGAACTTGGAGCTTAGCTCTGTTTTGTTCATTGGTATATTCCCAGCAGCTACAACAATGCTTTAAATATGGTAGATGCTTTGTAAATATTTACAAATATGATCATGAATAAAGCCTATAGTAGTTTTTAATATATGTGTCGGGTGAATGGAAGAGGTCTAGAGGATTCCCAGGGACTCATGGTTATACTCAACATTTTTTGGCGTCTATCCCGCTGGAGGTTGAGGAGGAGTTGAAGCCTTGGGTAGTCATACTGGAATTTCTGGCTGAAAGACAAAGTTATTTTCAGAAATCAACTTTTTAATAAAGCTGTAATCTAACTTTTCTTTGATGTGCTGAATTTTTAATCTATGGGACTTTGGGGAAATATAAAATTGAGAATGTGCCTCTCTCTGCAGAAATACTAGCTGTTATTAAGTAGAAGCACTGTAGTTTATGTTTAATGCCAACTTGTTACTGATTTGCTTTCTTTTTCTGTTCCTGTCACCAACTCGGATCACTGGGAGTGTTGTGAAGATTACTTTAATATTGCCTTAAAATCCTCATGGAATAAAAGCACAACACAATAACAAATTGTTAAATCTTATTTTTTTAACATTTACAGGAATTGTCCTATCAATTGACAGTCACTGCTGAGTAACTCAAAATCAGCCAAAATATCAACATCAAATGAAAAAGCCTTTTGCCAGGTGCAGTGGTACACACCTGTAATCCCAGCAGTTTGGGAGGCTGAGGCAGGAAGATTGTGAGTACAAAGCCAGTTTCAGCAATGGCAAGGCGCTAAGTAACTCAGTGGGACTCTGTCTCTAAATAAAATACAAAATAGGACTGGGGATGTGGTTCAGTGGTTGATCATCCCTGGGTTCAATCCCTGGTACAAAATATAAAGTATACAAACTCAGCACCACAGAAGCTTTAATGAATCGTGTGTATTGTCTGGGAGGGTAGAAGACAGCCTTGCTGTACTCACTTTGAGGGGTGGCACGTGGTGTCAATGTACTCCCATCCACGAGGATCACTGAAAATGTAGCTGGATATCCTATTTTGAAAACAAAATCCCCAAATTGTTACAGGTATTTGCATCCACATGTTTAACCATGCCAGTAGATTTAACAGGAGTATGAAGTATTGAAATGGGAAAGAATCTTATTAGATACATAGTCTAATTGCCTCATTTTATAAATGATGAAACAGAATCCAAAAGAGTGGGTGCTTGTGGTTATATATACAATATTTAACATCATTTCTTTGCTATTGACCCAGTTATCCTAAGCACAAATGTATTATGTTCAGACTTCAAAAATATATTGCTTCAGCCTGGGGATCTGGCAATAAAAATGAAGCTAAGGGGCTGGGGGTGTGGATCAGAGGAGAGTGCTTGCCTAGCCTGCATGAGGCACTAGGTTCAATCCTCAGCACCACATAAAGTAAAATAAAGACATTGTGTCCACCTATAACTAAAAAATAAATATCAAAAAAATGAAGCTAAGGTTCCTGTCCTCATGAAACTTCCTGTATGGTGAACTTTCATAATAAATATGAAACCATATTTAGTATGGGAACCCATACTAAATATGGTTTCATATTTATTTCAATTTTTGATTTGAAAATTCACCTCCATCTTTAAAATCTATCATTTTAATTCTATTCCTTCTTATTTCCCCTGAGAAATGAGAATGGTTCATATTTACTTTAAAATATCTCTGGAAATGAAGAAGCAAGGTAGATTAAAGAGAAAGAAAAGTACCCCACCATACCACATGCTGTTGAACTCATGTTTATGTCTGCTTAGAAGACAAGTTTTTAAATATGTTTTATATGTATTTCTCTTTTGTTCCAAAACATTAAGGTGGTTTACATAAATATGCATTATAAATAGATATAACAGTAAATAAAAAGGAAAGACAACAGAAATATCGCTAGAAAAATATGTTGATCCCTGTTGAAATCTGACTGTGGAAAGTACATAAAATGTGATTCCTTTCTTTGGAGCGAGCAGGGGGGGATTACTGGGGATTGATTCCAAGGGCACTCTACCACTGAGCTACATTCCAGCCTTGTTCATTTTTTAAAAAACATTTGAGACAGGATCTTGCTAATTTGCTGAGGGTCTAAGTTTCAGAGATGGGCCTCAAACTTTCAATCCTCTCACTTCAGCCTCCCAAGTTGCTGGGTATAAAGGTGTGCACCACCACACCCAGCCAAATTGCAATTCTTTTTTAAAAATATTTAATTGATTTTATTTTTTAAATACATGACAGCAAAATGCATTACAATTCTTATTAAATATATAGAACAATTTTTCATATCTCTGTTTGTATATAAAGTATGTTCACACCAATTCATGTCTTCATACATGTACTTTGGATAATGATGTCTATCACATTCCACCATCATTGCTAATCCCCTGTCCCCTCCCTTCCCCTCATACCTCTCTGCCCTATCTAGAGTTCATCTATTCCTCCCATGCTCCCCTTCCCTACCCCATTATTGGTCAGTCACCTTATATCAGAGAAAACATTCGGGATTTGTTTTTTTGGGGGATTGGCTAACTTCCTTTAGCAATTCTTTTTTTAAAAAATACATTTATTTATTTTAATTAGGTATATATGACAGCAGAATGTTGATTCATACAATTTCAGCACAACTTTTCGTTTCTCTGATTGTACACAATGTAGCATCATACCATATATGCAGTCATACATGTACCTAGGGTAATAATGTCCACATTGCAATTCTTGATGTCTTTACTTTTGGTTGATGTACTCTCATATTTGGTCTGAATTTTCTAGTAGAAAATGCTAAGAAATAAAAGTGTATGTTATATAATTGATGGACATCATAGAGTAAGTAAATTGTTCAGGAAAATAATTATTCTTTCTATTGTAATTAATAATTTCCCCTGTGTACTTATAAAAACGCTGCATAACATGTATAATATCTGTAATAATACCTTTACAGTGCCATGAGCATTCTAGCTTCTCAAGTTCCTCAATTTTGGGTAAGCATATGTTTTATAAGAATATAGGCAATGAAACCTCTGGAAACAATATGTGATAAATAAACTTACATTGCAGTCTTTGCATCTAAAAGTAATTCATAGCCAGACATGATCACAATAATCACTTCTGCAATGCAGCCTGCCAGTGGACTTCAAAGAGAGATGTCCTGCACCATGGCTTCAGGAAGACAGTCAAACATGGGGAGATGTGTTAGGGATTGCCTCAGAAGATGCCACATGGGCAATTGAAATGGGCCAGTCAACATAAGGATGGGACAAAAAAATTTAGGCAAGATATGCATAGTGATTTGCATAACTTCATTTATCCATCAAATACTTACTGAATGACAATTTTGTACCAGCAGCACTGGGGAAAAAGTGAAGAGCAAGAGAAACTTTACCTGACTTCATGGAGTTTATATTTTAGTGAGAATAAAGGTGAATGCAGTAGACCACTGTCTGAACATCAAGACTATTCCTCCTCCTGTTGACACAAACTATTTCCTACCCTACCATGCAGTTACAGGTTGCCATGCGCCAAGTCCTAATCAATGGAATGGGATGGAGTGATGGCTGTCATTTCAAGACCTGGCCTATGAAATCTGCAAACGATCCTTCTTGATCTTTCCTTGTGTATTATGCAGATATTATAAAGGTGACTGAGAAGTTACAAGTTAAGGGTGACAGAGCCATCAGCAGCCTGGGTTTCTGAATGACTGTGGAACTGAGCATGACCAAGCTGCTGGCTTGACCCCTCATTGGCTATTGCCTCAAGGATAAATGAACTCATATTAAGAATAAATGAACAAAGTGAAATGGCACTGCAGTCTGTTTCCCTTTTCGTACTAATAGTAAAAAACAATTGCAGTACAAGGTGATAAGTACTATGATAGAGAAATTCAGTGCATTGTGGGAATACAGAGAAGCGGAACAACCATAATGTGGAGCTTTCTGGTGATGTAACACCCAGGTATGATGGATGACAGGAATTAGTTAAGCTGGGATGGGGAAGGGAGAAGGACAGAATGCAAGAAGCAAGAAACAGTGGGAACAAGAGAGGTAACAGAACACTGAGGTTGTAAAAAATGTTGGAGGTACTCTGTATGAAGTAAAAGGATAAGTGAGGATGAGAGGGAAGAAGCAGCTCTATTCCTCACTCCGATAGAAGAAATTATATTCAGCTGGTCCTCACCAGATGCTCTAACCAGAGGGTAAGTCAAAGGTGGCCTCATTGAAGGCCAGAGGGATGAAGAAAGTGGGTAGGTTTAAGGGGCATTTAAAATGTAGACTCTCTAGTGTGGTGGCACATGCCTGTAATCCCAGTGGCTCTGGAGACTGAGGCAGGAAGATCACAAGTTCAAAGTTATTGTCAGCAACTTAGCGAGGCCTAAACAACCTAGCAAGATAAAAAAAAAGTCTCAGATGTGGTTCAGTGGTTAAGCACCCCTGAGTTCAATCCCTGATACCAAAAATATAAATAAATAAATAAAAATGTAGACTCAATGGGACTTTGTGAATGATTGGGTAAAGGAAATAAGGGTGAGATACGTCAAAATGAATCTCAGTTCCCTAGCTTGGATAGCACTTCAGATCATGGTATCACTAGCTGGGAAAATAAGCAGAGGTGATGAAGTAGTACCCCTTCCTCCACAGAGAATCTTCACTAAGCTTCTCCAGAAATCTTCACCATAATTGATTTTAAGACTATCAGCAAAACAGCCTCTACAAAAGAGTTCAATGTGGGTAAGCTCCCTATTTTCCTGTTGCTTTATTTTACTTGGACACTAGCCTAGAAGAAATCAGCACTCTAGATGCTAAATGCCCCTTTACTAGTTTTTCACAAACATTTATCCAGTACAGTAGCTTGTAGAAGTGTGTTTGCAATCGCAAAATGTGATTAAAAAAAAAAAGACAAATCCTTTAACCAGGCATCTGGCCTTGAGCTGGGGCTTCACAAAGATGTCTACATAAGTGTAAGATAAGAAAAGTTACCAACTGGGCTCCATGCTAACATCTGGCAAGGGGAGGAAAGAAAGGGAAGAAGAAGCTTTCCCCTTCTCAGGCGCTGTCCTTGAAGGGTTAACTTACCCAGAACAGTGAAAGAAAAAGCTGCTTTTGGGTGAACTTCTGCACACTGTGTACTTCTCAGCACCTCCAATTACATGCTGAGTATAAAGTTCTGAAACTACCTGAACTCGGGGTTCAGGGGAATTGATGGATTACAGCGAAAGCTTTGTCCTCTGAGCCTGGCAAAAGCCAAATAAAAATCTGCTTCCTGTTCCTACTTGGTATCTTGCCTCATCTGTCCCCTGCAACAGAGAGACAGTTTTGGAAGTGGCCAGAGGGCACAAAGATGAATTCAATTTTGGATTGGTTGATTTTGAGTGCATATGAAACATTCGATTCTAGCAGAAGTTTGACCTCGTGAATTGGAATCTCAGGAGTGAAATATGCAAATCCACATTTGTGAAACATCAGCATGTAGGTGATCACTGACGTAGCTGAACACTATGGAGGGGGTTCTATAAAGACATTCCATATAAGTGACTGGCAGAGGAAAGGATGTTCAAGAGAAGCCAGAGATGCAGGAAGAAAGCTAAAAATACATAATGTTATAGAAGCCAAAGTGACTGGGGGTTTCCAGATGCAGGATAAGCCAGTCTAATTTAACAAATATTTGTCAGTGAACTCTGATGCTTGAAATTGGGTCTGTGGAGTCAAAGAGAGATTTTCTCCTGCCACGAAGAGATTTTTCAGACAGTTCTTGGCTGCTAGGAATCATTGCATTAGACCCATCAATCTGCACAGAGCCTAAGAGACAGATATGCAAACCACTTGAAGGTTTACATAAGCAATGTAGCTTTGCTATTCAAAGCGTGGATTCTAACCAGGCTCCCTGGTTTGAATCCTGGCCTGGTGGGTTGAATTTTAGTTAGAAATATGATTCTGGTAAAGTTATTAACCTTTTTCTCTTTCTCAAGATCCTCCCTTGTGAAATAGTAGCACTTTTCTAGTAGGGTGATGGTGATGATTTAAAG